CCCAAGAAGGGGGCTGCAGACTCCGGGGTGATAAGAAGGTGAGAATGTCCTGGGCTGGATCACCACACGACTTCTGGGTTCCCCGCCTATCTCACCCAGGAATACTGGCTTTTCTGCGAAGTCTACACAGGAAGTTCAAGTTGAGGAACCCAGGCCTGTGGCTAGGGAAGACTCCAAGGTCCTTCCTTGTGGTCTGAGATTCCACAAGAAGAGGGGTTCCTTTCTCTCCAGATCTGAGCAAGGACAGGGTTAGAAGTCCTAAGGTGGCTGGAAGTGAGCTGCTGCTGAGGAGCTGGACACCCAGGCCAGTGCTAGCCAGGGAATGCTGGTACTGCACCTTCACTGCTCCTGGGACATCACAGCTTGCCCGCGGTTGGTCTGTACACAGCAGCAAAAGCTGGGCACATCCCAGGGGACCAGCAAATCCAGGAGAAGGTCTCCTGCCCAAGGGACCCATGGGCATCCCAACCAGCTTCTCTACCACTGGCCTGTATCTTCTAATCCAGGGATTAAGAGAAGCATACTAAAGAATGATAAAAAGTTTGATTAGGCCTTCTTGGGTAGTTTGGGCTTTGAGGTTGAAACCTGAATGGTTGAAAGGGTTTTGGGAATAGCTTTTTCAAGCCAGATTGCATCTAGAAGCTGGAGTGCTATATTAAGACCTAGAGTTAAATTTTTTTTTTGGTAGGGAAGATTTACAGAGCTATGGGCAAGTTCCTGGGTCCACAGAAAAACCTGGCATGTGGCTGTCTCCTCTGGCCACATACAGTGAATGCCATTTGCCAGATAGTCTGGGGGTTAGGTAACAGCAGGGATTCCGGAGTTGAAAGCCAGCTCTGCTCTAGCACCCAGCTCCAGAAGGTAGCCAGGGTCTTCCCAGGGTGAGAACCCACCAATGTATGGAGCAGACCAAACAATTCTTACTAGGGGGCTGGCCTGCCCTGAGCCCCTCGGCCTTACGCAGTTGCCAACAGAAGTTCATGGGGACATAAAGCAGCTGAGGTCTCCATGCCAGGCCTTTGCATGACCTTCTGGCACGTTAAGGGGCCACAGTGTCCTGAGGTACTCGTACTGGTGACAGCTGCCAATCACAATCCCTGCGCTGCCCACAGACCGAGCCCCAAATGGCTGCCTAGGCACAGACCTCAAAGACAGAATTAGAGAGACTTGAAGCTTGTTCCTTTCCTCCAGGTAACTTCAGTAGACCCCAGACAGGAACAAGGCCTCTGTGCTCTGGGGTGACCCACTCTTGTGGGCTGCGTGTTCAAAGTTTGGAGGAGGCCAGTATAGCAGCTGGCACAGCACTCCTGGGCTGGGCAGACAGACAGCTGTCCTGAAGGCTGAGAGCTCAGCATTCCATGCATGTCAGCACCTCTATAAAACCCAGCCACTCCCTCAGCTGAGGGGCTAGGGAAGGGGGGACCAACTGGTCAGCCCTCACTCCAGGCTTTATGGCCTAGAGGCTGACCCTTACATGGTCCCACTGGGACCATGCCACCTGCTGGGCAGAGAGGGGATGCCACCTGGGACCCTTGGGCACTGAAGCCAGGGCATGCCAAGAGTCCACTGAGCCCACTCGTGAACCAAGACATGAAGGCAACAGCTCTGGCCCCTCAGTCCTGACAGGACAAAGGAAAAGAAGTGGCAAGACCAGGCAGCCTGGTATGGCTGGGTAACATTGAGTCAGACCTTGTTCTTTCCTGGGCCTCAGTCTTCTCCTTGTAAAAATGGAGAAGGCAGAGGTTTGCACTTGCTGGGTGCCAGAAGACCCATGAGGCACAGCATGAAGACCTGTCTGCATATGGCTAGCTCTGTATATGACAAACCCTGCATGTATGTGTGATTTTCAAGACCTATGTGCACATGCAGTGCCGTGGGGAAACAGCCACACTCTGAACCAGGCTGTGTCTTGAAGGACACTCATGGTTTGGGGGCACAGTTGTTGGGGTCTGCTGGGCGGAAGCACAGAGCAGGGAGGGGGCTGGCAGGTGGGGGCTTCAAAGGTGGGAAGGACCAGGGTAGCTAGCTCCTCTATCTGTTGGCCTTGAACCTGCCCAGGCGGACCCTTGACCCTTTCCCTGTGTCTCCAGGGGAACACCTACTCCCAGAGCAGCGTCCTGTCTGTTCCACTCTACTTACCTCAACCCCAGCCCCCAGGCAAATAACTTCCCTTGCTACAGAGAGACCCAAGGGTCATTTCAGTCCTGTTCAAGACTGGATGCCTTCTCCAGAGTCAGCTGGTCTGCGGCCAGGCAGCCAGGCTGGGACGGGAGCCACACACGTCCACCCCCTCGGAGGGCAGCTTGCAGTCCAGCCTTAACGTGGGGGCTCTCCTGCTGCCCAGGCCCAGCCACCTGTCTCCCTGCTTTGGGACATCTTCTCCTCAGCCCCTTCCTCTTTAATGGCTATAACATATGTACAGCTCCACTCCCTTCGCCCCACCCCCACCCCCCTCTCTCTCTCTTCCTGAAGCTTACAGCCTGGCTTGGAGTTCATAGCTGCAACACACACACTCATGCACATACCCACACATGCGCGCGCGCACACACACAGCTGTGGAATGTTTTCCTGCTTCTAGGGTTTATGGCTCTGGGGCATGCGCTCCTTGCCACCTCCCCAAGTACCTGACATCTAGTCTATTCCTTCCCTCCCTTGGAACTCTTGTGGGGAGCCGAGGCTGAGTTGGAACGGTGGACCAGTGAGGGGAGAAGAGAGAGTCGTGGAAGACCCCACCTGAGTTGCTCAGGGGCAACCATGACCCTCCCCAGCCCCCATCGCCAGCGTTCCTATAGCGGGGACTGGTTTTCCCATTTGGAAAGGGAACTGGCCCCTAGAAAGCCAGACTGAAACCAGCCCCGCCTCCCTGGATTTTCATTCATTCTTTTAACAGCCATTCATTCCTCTGGTATTTGTTGAAGACCCACAAAATACTAGGTTGGGCCTGAAGGGGTTATGGCAGAGAGCCAGGCAGACAGATCCCATGCTCCAGACCCAAAGCAGTTCAACACCGGCATCTCTATCAGAGTGGTGAGTGCCAGGATAGGAAGGATGTGGGGTTGGGGGAGGGGCAGAGGAAGAGTGAAGGAGCCTCTTGTCTCACTGTCTGTCAATCACAGAAGCCTTCATCTCAGACGCACTGTCCAGGCTGGGAGTAAACCAGGCCTTAGCCGGAACAGGGGACAGGAAGTGCTGTCCTGCAGCGGAAGCTGGGGGAGAAGTGTATCTGAGACAGGAGAGTCGAGCATGTGCAAGGGCTGGGGTGTGCATCTAGGTATGGATAGGGACAGCTTGGGATCTCTTTGAGTAGTTAAGCTTCCTCCAGGGACTGAGAGAACCTTGGAAAAGTCTTAAGCAGAAGAATGACAGAACCAGGTGCCTCAAGTTAGCTATTTCATTGTGAGCAGGAGAAATGGACCTCAGATGTCAGACAAGGGGCTTCCAGAAAGGGATGTGGGAGCTGGCGGTTGAATAGAGGTGGAGCAGCCAGGCCTCACAGAGACGGGAAGCCCACAACCTCTCCTAGAGGAGGCCACTGAGGGTGCGTTGATCTTTTTTGTTGTTGTTGTTGTTGGTTTTTTTTTTGTTGTTGTTGTTGTTTTTGTTTGTTTTTTGTTTTTTTGTTTTTTTGGTTTTTTTTTTTTTTTTGGTTTTTCTGAGACAGGGTTTCTCTATGCAGCTTTGGTGCCTGTCCTGGAACTTGTACTAGAGACCAGGCTGGCCTCGAACTCACAGAGATCCGCCTGGGTCTGCCTCCCAAGTGCTGGGATTAAAGGCGTGCGCCACCACCGCCCTGTGAGTGTATGGGTCCTTGAGCCTGCTACACCCCAAGGTCTAGGTACCAGGGGAAAGGGAAGTAGGGGATAACTTTCTGGCCCATTTAGCCACCTAAGGAACTGGAGTGGAACAGCATGGACAGAGCTCAGGGTCATTGTGCAGGTGAAACAAAAGGAACCAAACCCTGAAGAACACACACTGTGCGATCCACTATTAAGTTCTAATGAAGTCAGGCCCAGGCAGAAATCAGTAACAGTGGCTGCCCCTGACGGGCAGGGAGCAGGGAGCAGCTTACCAGAAAGGGCATAAAGGATTGTCCTCTCCCGGAGCCTGGGAGTGAACACTGAGGGTCACACAGGTGTGTGCACCTGCCAGAACCCTTTAGCCTATGGGATTAAACCCCGTGCTCAGTGACAACTGGCAGCAGAAGCTGATCGCAAATAAACCGAGAGAGAGCTGGCCTGAGAAGCTCAGACCACACACCCGTTGTTCCTTGGCTGGGGGCTCAGGGGTCCCTGCCAGACAGTTCCCCTAAGACATTTTGCAACAGGAGAAGGTGATTTCCTGAAGTCAGGCCAAGGAGCTGTTGGTAAAAGAGGGAATGAGCGCTTAAAGGCCAGACAACAGCTTTAGAGTGGAGAGGGTTCTGTCTGCTAACTTAAGGAAAGAAACAATGTAACTAAGCAGAGAAGGCGGAGAAAACCTGTGAGTAACCAGGGCCGGTAGGCCGTGAACCGTGAAGCTTCTGCTGGTCCTTTGAAGACAATTGGCTAAATTTTAAGTTTTCTCACCTCCTGCACCCCTTGTGACCCAAATAGCAGCACCCTTGACATGTTCATTGTGGGACAAAGACCTGGATGGAAAATAACAAGAAGGTGGAGGATCTCATTTATAGGAACTTGTTCCCCCTCCAAAGCATTACCTCCAAGGGAAGAAATACGACTTCATTGAAAGAATTCCTCAGAGAGACAGAGAGACAGAGACAGAAAGACATACAGAGAGAGAGAGAGAGAGAGAGAGAGAGAGAGAGAGAGAGAGAGAGAGAGAGAGAGAGAGAGAGAGAGAGAGAGGCAGGCAAGTGCATACCACATGGCATGGTGCATCAGCTGTCGGACCTTCCCCATGTGTCACTGGACACATGCAGCTGGCTTGAAGCACTTAAGGCCTCCTTGTGGGCGCTGCCGCAGCTGCTGTCAGGGCTGCCAACGAAGTAAAGAAGTGGGCTCTTTTTCTTCCTGCCCTGGAGACCAAGAAGGCCTTCACTACCTTCTCCCCAGGCAGTGCCTTCCTCCTGGTCCATGGGGGCAGTTGTGGCCAAATTGCTCCTGCCTACCCTCAGCAGCCTGGCCTTCCTGCCCACAGTGAGCATCGCTGCCAAGAGGCAGTTTTACATGGAGGCCATGGTCTACCTCTTCACCATGTTCTTTGTGGCGGTAAGTGGGGACCTAGGAGGAAGACCTCCTGGGGAGGGCCGCCACCCCTGTCCTGTGCCGGGTGACGGAGAGACATGATTTGGAAGAGAAAGGTGTGTGTGAGGGTGTCCTGGTGACTGGAAAGAGAGGGTTTGGAGTCTGTCTTTCTCTATGGACCTCAGTTTCTCCATCTGTGCCAGGAATTTGGGAGGGGGCAGTGGCTGATGCATGTGACTAAAGCCAAGCCTGGGACGGCCCCATGTCAGTTAGCTAAGGACAGTCTTTGCAGGTTGCTTCTTCTTGTGCTCCCCACACCCTCTCTACCAACTTTGTCCCAGGAGTTGCCGAGCCGGGGAGGACAGGGGATGAGTGAGCAGGCCTAATGGACCCACTAGGTTCAGGGAAGGAAGAGGGCCTGGGTGGATCTTGCTCCAGAATTCAGAACTACCCTCATTGAGAAGGACCAGCCTCTCTCTGAGCTTTCTTTCTCTCCCATTGTGTGTCTGGCAGGCTGGCTGCCTCTGAGTTCCCTCTGCTGCTCTGTTCCCAGGTAATGTCCTGGAGTGAGTCTTCTGTCTTTCAGGGCATGTCTGGCATGGCTGGCTTTGCTGAAGCCTGTGTCAGGGCCTCTGCTCCTCCTCACCCCCTCTGTGTGTCCCTCCCTCCCCTTCTCTCACTAGTCCTGCGTCTAGTTTCTTCTCTGCCTGTCCCTCCCTTCTTTCTGTCTGTATCCAGCTCTTTTGATTTCTAGAATTACACCCCCACGGAGTTCGCCCTCCTCTTCTCCCTGCTCTGTCTGTCTCTCGTTTCTTCTCCTGACCCTCTGTGTCTCTCTGGTTTTGTCTACCTGTCCATCCAACTTGCTTCTGTCTGTCTATCTATCTATCTAATCTATCGTCTATCTAATTATATGTTTATCTACCATCTATTCACTTATCACTTGTCTTGTTCTAGTGTATCTATTCATCATCTATCTATCATCTGTCTAGCCAACCATCTCACCCTGTCCATGCACCTGCTCATCTCTCTTCCCTCTGTCTTAAGGGGGATCACTGTGCCCCTGAGTCCTCCTGAGTCCCCCTCACACTGGTCCTCACTGCTGTCCTCTAACCGGGGGTCACACCATCTCCCTCACTGCACTATAACCTTCGATTCTCTCTCATCACACTTGTCCCTCAACAGTTTGTATGGTGTGTGACCCACACACTGGCAGGATGCATGCTCAGGGTTGGCAAGCAGCCTCTTGATCTCCTTCTTAAGGCAGAGCCAAACCTTTGGAAAATAGTATCCTGTCCCTAGGCCCGCCTCTCCCAGCAGCAGGGTCTCAGTGGACAAGAGCATGGAGTATGAGAGGGTTCTCAGCTGGCTCTGAGTGAGTGAGGCCACGAGCACGCGTGTGTGTGTGTGTGTGTGTGTGTGTGTGTGTGTGTGTGTGTGTGTGTGTGTGTGTGTGCTCAAGCCAGAGTGATTTCTAGCGGTGGGAGAAGCCACCAGTGCTCGTGGGCTGACAACAGTCGGGGAGGTGTTGGCACATGTCTCCCTCCTGGTTGTGGAGGTCCCGTGGGTAACAGTGAGTTTCTCCAAGGAACTGGATGCTTTAGGGCTCTGAGTTCACGTTAGGACAGGAGGACATTAGACCACTGACAGCCACAGGCAGCAACCGGGGTCGGGAGGGGCTCAGCATCACCCATGAGCCTAGGGTAGTGATTTGCATTTGATAGAAGAGGAACCGGGGTCTCAGAGAAGCTGGGCCACCGATGTCACCATGCACAGCACTCTGAGATCCTGGTCTACCCACAGTGCTTTCCCACACTGTCATTCATTCCTCGTGAAACCTAGCCAAGGTCAGAGCCAAGATGAGACCCCAAGGTCAGGGACAAAAGCCAGGTTCTTGTGCCCAAGGCCCGTGTTAGACATAGCTCAGCAACTCACAGGCCCCAGTTAGGTCACCCCTGCCTGCCCTGGGCCTGGGCTGGCCTACAGCTGCCTCTGCACCAGCCTCAGAGACCCACCCTGCCCCACCCCACCCAGAGTGGCAGGGCCAGCTGTCTGCTATGACAAATGTCCCCTGGCCTCAAAGCCACAGTCTGTGCCTCTTCTGCCTTCCATGTGGCTCCTCTAGGACCCTCCATGGCAACCACCCGTTGTGTGGTGTGCTGATGCCGAATACAAGAATGACTCTTGGTGTCAGTTACCCAAGAGTGGGCCTGATTTGTCCCAAAGAGTTCTGCTCTCCCTTGTTCTAGCTAATCTTATAGCCATGTAATCTAACAGCAGACTTTAATCTAAGAATCTTGGACAACCTCATCCTCTCCACATGCTGAACAGCATAGCAAACAGGCTAAAAAGAGTGGGTGATCTGAGTCTTAATCTTCTGCAGGAGCCTCACAAGGGAGACAGCTGTTTCTCTGGCCCTATTGACTCAACAGCACACAAAGCCACATGCAGATATTCTCAGCCTATACCCACATGTTGCTTTCAACATGTGTTTTTTTTGGGGGGGCCAGGTGGAGGGCACGTGTTTTCAGTGCCTTGCTGATTTTAACACATGGTCTTAGCCCTGGTCACCACATCTCACACAAACATATACTGTTCTGAGCCAGGGGCATAAAAAAGTCACAAAGGAGAAATAGAGACTACAGAACAATCAAAAGTTTATGCATGTATCTGAGCCTGTAGGACTCGGTTACACTAGAAATTCAAAGACTGATTGCACTGTTTTTCTCAGAGGTGAGTTAATTATGACCAGGGTGAGCACAGCGTTCTAGATGATCTCAAAGGACAATATTAACTTGGTTTCAGATTGGGTGAAAGTTTTATTTGTAAAGGCAAACTTTAAACAGCATTTCCCAGAAAAATCATTCCCACTGTGTGGAGCACCATGCTATGGAGTTATCATGAAGGGTCCCCTTGCAAGCCCCATAGAAGAGGTGCTCTCACTCCAGTGGACAGAGGAGGCCCTGAGAGACCGGCCTCTTTCTTGGACCCCTCTGCCAGATCTGCTGGGCTAACAGCAGGGTTGGAGCGCCTGCCACACCCAGCTATGCCCTAGCCCAGCCCCAGTTGGGACAAACCCACCTGCCTCTGGGGAGGAAGTGTACTCATCACTGCCTTGCCCTTGCCTCCTTGGGTAGGGAGGTGCCCCAGGGAAGTTCACAGTCACACAGATCCCAAAAGAACCTCAGGGCCTGGGGACAGTCCCCTCTCCTGCTGTAAAGCCTCCTCCTCTGGCCCTCACACACAGGCAAGTATTCTATGCTGGGATCCAGCCTAATGAGGCTCTTCCGCTCCTCTTGGGGAAGGTACTGATGTTTCAGAATCTCACAGTGGGTGAGTTTTACTCATCCATTCGGGCCTACACAACAAAGGGAGCACAGATGTCACAGACGGTGGGCCCAGGTGGGGTTGAATGATGTGGCTTTATTATAAGGACTGGAAGAGCAGGGGCCCCTCCCAGAGCTGAGTCTCTTTCCTTCTCCGCTTGAGAGCCTTGATGTGGCCCCACCTGAAGCTTGTCCTCCCCGAAGCTAAACAGTTAGAGCTCACACCTAGCTGGGGAACCTCCTCCTCGCCAATGTCCCTTTAAAAGGGGCAGTACCCAAAGCTCAGGGCAGCATCAAAGCTCTGGGCGGGGCAGGTCCAACACAGAAGCTGGACCACCCCCTCCCTTCCCCTGGATGCTCTCAGTTGACTGACAGTCCACATGTAACTGTGATCAGCAGGAGGTCTCTAAGCTTCTAAGTCAGGCCCCACGTGCTTGACTGACACATCCATCAGGCAGGGTCCTGGCCCCCTATGGTGCCCCTGCTGCCTCCAGACAGGGCTGTTTTCCAGCTTGCCTGCTCCCTCCTGCTGAGCTGGGTTTACCAAGAGCCGATTGTGCTGGCTCCCGGGCTTGTTTGTGCCAGTCTTACTTGTCAAAATAATTATGTCATGTAATTAAATATTACTTAAAATGATGAAATGTGGAGCAAAAGGAGAGAGAGTTGTTTTCCGCAAGAAATAAGTTGACTGCTTGGAAATATTTCATATAGGGCCTTTTGCTTAAACGTAAATCTGTTCAGCCACACGTCAGGAACACGCCTGCTGGAGTATGGGGGAGAGGTGTAGAAAAGAGGGTGGCAGGATCAGCCCCGGCATGGGGGAGTCTGAAGTCTTCCTCCTTTGTGAAGAGCAGGGTGTCCAGGATAAAAGACTCACATCCAAAGATTGACGTGGGAAGATGTGTGCCCTTGCAATCAGCCCGGGGCAAAGGGTGTGTGTGAATGGTATTTTAGGGTCCCCTTCTCAACAGGCTTCATCTGAGTGACTACCAGCCTTGGGCCAGTGGTAAGAGGGTCCGAAAGTGATATTTACTTCCAGTCCTGATGGACTCACCTGTTTAATCTCCACAAGACCTCGTCAGAGGGAGTGTCCAATTGTGTGCCCTGATAACGTGGGGAAACTGAGGCAGGAAGCCATCAAGGCCTCACGCTAGTGAGGGGCCTGTGGCTTGGGACCAGTTCTCACCCATCGCCGATGCCCACGGCCCGCTGACCTCTTGTGTTTTCCCCCAGTTCTCCCATGCCTGCGATGGGCCTGGCTTGTCCATGCTGTGTTTCATGCGCCGTGACATCCTGGAGTACTTCAGCATCTATGGGACGGCCCTGAGCATGTGGGTCTCTCTAATGGGTGAGTGGCTATCTCTGCCAGTCGGGGGGGGGGGGGAGGGCGGGGAGCCATTCCCCAATACCAGCCAGCACCCAGCCCATCTCTGAGATCCTCTCCCTCCTCTCTGCTTTGCAGAGCCAGCGGCTTAATCTACTAAAAGAAACACACACATTTCTTAGATGCCTGCACTCTGATTTTTCACATCCTTAAGTGATTCCTGTAATAAGCACTTGTGACATTTAAAGAGCAAAAAAAGGCACACAAAGTAGAGGACAAAAGTGTTCCTGTACTCAGCCCTACAGAGACCACCATTGCCCTCAGGTCAGGGACTTCGCCTCCCAGAACATACTCCAGGCTCAAGGGAACATTTGCTCTTATGGGTCATCTTCAGCTCTGGGTTTTAGAAAGGTAGGCCATTCAAAATCCTCGCTTTGGGCCTGGAGTACAGCTCAGTAGTCCAGCACTGGCCTGGTGAGCAATAGGTTCCATCCATTGGTTCCATCTCCAGCACTGTGAAAATTTGAAAGAGAAAGAAAGAAGGAAGGAAGGTGTCTTAGTTAGAGTTTCTATGGCTATTGAAGAGACACTGTGATCACAGCAACTCTTATAAAGGAAAACATTCAATTGGGGTGGCTTACAGCTTCAGAGGTTTCATTATTGTCATGGTGGGAAGCATTTCGGCATGCAGGCAGACATGGTGCTGCAGAAGGAGCTGAGAGTTCTATATCTGATCCACAGGCAGCAGGAAGAGAATGAGACACACTAGGTCTGGCTTGAACATCTGAGACCTCAAAGCCCACCCCCCAGTGACATACTTCCTCCAACAAGACCACACCCACACCAACAAGGCCACACCTCCTAATAGTGCCACTCCCTGTGAGACTGTGGGGAACATTTTCTTTCAAAGCACCACAGAAGGGATGGAGATAGTAAGAAAGCAGGAAGGATGAAGGAAAGAAGAAAAGAAAGGAAGGAAGGAAAGAAGGAAGGAAGGAAGGGAGGGAGGGAGGGAGGGAGGGAGGAAGGAAGGAGAGGGAGGGAGGGAGGGAGGGAGGGAGGAAGGGAGGGAGGGAAGAAGGGAGGAACAGGGAAAGAAAATAAAGGAAAGGGAGAAGCCAAATCAACTCAACCTTGTTTCTCAGGGATGTTGTCACAGGTGGGCCGTGTTACCTGAGGGTCCCTCCTGAGACGCCGCCCTATGCACCACTCACCCGCTCACATATCTCTAGTCTTAATACTTTCATCCGAGGATTCCCAGGAAATACTGATCACTCAGTCTACCATTTAATTACAGCCACACTGATCCCGGGAAGCAGCATCCCCTGTTTCTTCCAAATAACCAAAATTCAGACCCTGTGGGGACCAAGTTGGGCCTTCGGGTCCTACAGACTGAGAGGACATCCCAAAGGGTTCCCGAGGGTGGGGGGACAGCCAAGGGGAGGGAAGCAACTCATCATTGCCACGCCTCTCTCCAGCACTGGCCGATTTTGATGAACCCCAGAGGTCAACCTTCACGATGCTCGGTGTGCTTACCATCGCGGTTCGGACTTTCCATGACCGCTGGGGCTATGGGGTGTACTCGGGCCCCATAGGCACAGCCATCCTCATCATTGCTATGAAGTGGGTGAGTACTGTGGGTATCTCAGCTGACAGGGCCCAGGGACTCTGCAGCTCTCCCCTGACCTTGGTTCTCCTATATGGGGGTCCTATACCTCCTACCCTTATATGCAGGCAAACTAACCTAGGAATTGAGCCAAAACTCCTAGAATCCTTAGAAATGGTGACTCATGCTTGAACCTTATTCACTGCTGGCTCATCAGTAATTACTGGTCCTGTGTAAAGCCAAAACTCCTTTTTTTCCCCTGCTATGTGTCCAAATACTCATAAAGAAGGCTTCTAAGCACTGGCACATACATGGCTTTTAATGTACCCAGAGATGAGGAGGCCACTCATCATCATGACCATCACTGTCATTATTTCCATCAACGTCATTGTCCCCATCATTATCATTCTGAGAGACAATGGCTGCTTACAGCACCAGTTTGGAGAGCAGCTAGGTTAATCTGGAGAGCCTGTCTGAAGGAAGCAAGCTTTGGATATAGTTCTCGTGAGGAAGGAAGGTTTGAGGTGTGGATGAAGCAGAGTTTTCAGTAAGACTACCCCAGAGGAAGGCCTGGTACCTGACACTTACTCTGCCCTCTACAGTCTCAAGGTCCTCCTGGCTGCAAGGTCTAGAGCCCACCTAAGCTAGCTAACATGAACAAGGGTGCCGATAGCAGACTAGACCCAGGGGTGTCTCCTGGACCCCTCTCAGAGCAGTCAGGCCCAAACACAGACCTGGAAGGCCAGCAGGCTTCATGCCAAGCAGGTGGCAGCCCAGGCCCCAAGTTCACGCCACTCCTCTGCATTTTGCATACAGCACCACTTTGGATCTTGGGGTTCCCCTGAGTAGAACCTCAGCAGTACAGAGCAGGCCAGGCAGTGCTTTGTGGGGGGAGGGAGCGGGGGCGGGGGCGGTGGAGGCTCTGATCCATCCACCGCGCAGGGAGGACAGGTATAAAGCAGGCAGGAAGCTTCCAAGCACCTGCTATTCTTGCGGGCTCCGAGGAACCCAAGCTTATTCTGCTTTTTAATTAAGGGTGAAGCTGGGGTGCCCAGGGGTCAGCAGGCAAACCTACAGCCTCAGTAGGCAGTAGCTGCTGGACTTGGCTGTTCAGGGGGCAAGGACGAGATTCTGTCACTCTAACTGGGGTGAAGCTGGCCCTGGCTGACCCTGAAGACCAGAGCCTCTTTTGTGGCAGAGGCGCTAGGGTTCTGCACGGTTAATTAGCAAGCTGGAATGCATAAACATGAAGGCTCCTTCTGATGTTGCTTCCTCATCCTGTCCATCATGGCCCCCTTGCTGCCCTTGGCTGGATCTGGATCTGACTGAATCTTTTTTTTTTAAGACAGGGCCTCACTTTATATCCTTGGCTGACCTCCAACTCACAGAGCTCCTCCTGCCTCTGCCTCCTGCATGCTGGGATTAAAGTCCAGCACTCCCATACTGACAGGATTTTAGTTAACCAGGATAGCATGCATGTATTAGTATCCCTCAGTAAATGCCAGGCTTCCCAGGTCTCTGGAGGAAATGGGAGTGAGAAAGGCTGCAGCTGCCCACATCTGGGGCACAGATCCCATCTCCTGGACCACTAAATAAGCAGGTGGTTTGGACTTGCTTCTTAGAATGGGGGTAGCATTCTTTCCCATGTCTCACCCTTTGGGGGAAGACGTATGGAAACAACACTTGGGGAGAAGAAACTGAGTTAAATGGAAAATAGGGCTCCTAGGACAAAGAAGACCCCTAGGTGACCTTGGATATTCTTCCCCTCTCTGGGACCCCAGTGTTACAATTGTGAGATTGACCACACGAGGGCTTCCCAGGCCGCCAGAACCTGCACCCACAGCACTGACACCATTCACCGGGTCCTCAACTCCTGCTAATAATGGCAAGTTTTAGAAGACTGGGAACAGCACCTTATCACCACTCATTTGGTGGTAAAACCAGCTCTGACCAGCTGTTGATGGCCTTTGTGTTTCCAATGTATTCAGTGATGTGTGCGGTCAGGGCTGCTGTCCCATGCCCACAGTGTGCATCTGACAGTGGTGTGTGTAATGGTATACCCCACTGAAGCCTGAACCACCCTGAGTCTAAAATACCTCTGGGACCCAAGGGTCTGCATTCCACTGAGGAACCACAGGTATCTCATCTCTTCTATGTCATACCTCATCTTACCAAGCTTGTAACACACCAGGGCCTGAGAAATCAAGGTTAATGGAAAAGGACCAAGACTTGGCTGGTAAAGCTGATCATATTAGTCTGTATGCCACTGAAGTCCCACAGACCACCACACAAACCGCCTGGAGAGGGAGGGAGTGCAGGGCTCATAGGTCCCAGATAAGCTGACCTCCTTCCACTGTTCACAATCTCCGGGGGCATGCCCTCTCTCTAGTTGAGGGATAGGAGTGCATCCGTGGCCTTGCTCCTTCCCAGAGAGGCAACAAGGGCAGTGGGGACCCAGGGAAAATTGACCCAGAGATTCTCAACCCTACCACTCAGGCAAAGATCTCTGCCAGTTTTGCTTTGGGGGGTGGGCAGTGCTTGCAGAATCGACAGAGGTGCTCGGGCATGCAGAGGAATGGGAGTGGGGCGCTTCTCCTACCTGAAGATGGTAGGGTGGTAGGGGATGGCAGTGGGATCATGCCCAGACAACTCAGTAAAGGGCCCTTCCCTGTACTGCACCCCAAAATCCTTAATGTTCCCACCTTGCCCCCGCAGCTGAAGAAGATGAAGGAGAAGAAGGGCCTGTACCCTGACAAGAGCATCTACACTCAGCAGATAGGCCCCGGCCTCTGTTTTGGGGCACTGGCCCTGATGCTTCGCTTCTTCTTTGAGGTATCAGGCCTGTGGGGAGGGGATTGAGCCCTCCAGAGCCCTCTGGAAATGGCTTGACTTAACAGACAGGGTAGCAGGCTGTTTTCACAGGGAGGCTCCAAGCCATGCATTCTGTTGTGGTGGGACTTGAAGTCGGTACTCTCCATCCCCAGTGGGCCCGCACCACAGCCTGCGTGGACCTGAGGGTCACAGGGAGTCAACCAGGCTGACTTCAGGAAGCTTGATGCATGTCCTGGAAGAGGCCAGGGGCTGATGCCCAGAACCCAGAGGACAGGGGACAGAGGAAGGCAGAAAGCCTTTCTGCCATATTCTCAGAGTGGGATGGCCGGCAGAGGCACCAGACGGCTGGAAGGACTTAGTCCGGGAAAGGGGCTGAGGCTCGGGACTGACTCGCTCTCCTCCACAGGAATGGGATTACACCTATGTCCACAGCTTCTACCACTGTGCCCTGGCCATGTCCTTCGTCCTGCTGCTGCCCAAGGTCAACAAGAAGGCTGGGAACTCGGGGCCCCCCGCCAAGCTGACCTTCTCCACCCTCTGCTGCGCCTGCGTCTGACCACAGCCCCGTTCTAGGCCCCTGCCCTCCTGTCTGGCGGCCCCACCATCTCTCCCAAGATACCTTCTCTGCTTCCCCAAGTGGTGTGTCAGTGAGAAATGGTCTCTTCTGCACCCCAAGAGACCAGCAGACCTGCTACACTCTGCTAAACGATGCTTAGGGACCCACTAGCTTCACGTTCACCAGTTGCAGAAGGAAAAAAAAAAGAATTTTCTCCTCTAAGACTTCATAACCATAGGTGTGCCTGGCAGAGCTCTAGACCAGAAGATACTGGCCACAAGTCCCAGCCCAGCAGTGTGCACAACAGGGGTGATCTAGTTCCTAAGTCCTGCCTGCCTGGATTGTCTGCTTTCTCTAGAAAACTGGTATTGCCACTTCTGCCCCCTGCCCAGGCTCTGAAAGTCCCCCTCCCCCATTTAGGAAGCTGGAGCCAGTGAAACCAGCTTTGGCCTGGACCCAAGCTTGCATGCCCCTGTCTGGGCCCCATCCCTTTAGCCAGGTCTTAGATCAAGCCATTCAGAGTAAACTCCTGATCGGCCACTAGTCATCAGCCTCCAAGAACACCTTATATGCATCCGGTTCCTAGAAAAAGTCTCTGCACTGAGTGTTACAGTTCTGGTCTCGGGGGAGTGCCTGAGTTCAGGATCAGCAACTGGCCTAAGTCCAGGTGCTGGTAGACACAGAGCTAAATCTGCTGCTGGCCTGGGTACCTGGGCTGGAGGCGGGGTAGACTGCTGGTCTTCAGTTTACTCTACACTGGCCTGAAGCTCACTCTGGGGCCCTGAAGAAAGGGCAAGTGCAGGAGACACCCCTGGGCCAGGCCTTGCTGGGATTGCGCCATACTGTGAGCAGTCCTGTCTGTAACAGACTGGGGGTCAGGGCGTGGCAGGGCATGGCAGCCATCACAGCAGCCTTCAGACATCACCTCACAAGCCTGCATCTCCCCAGCACCCCAAGCCATCCCCTTTCCTAGTGACCCAAGGCCCAGCTGTCAGCAGGAAGTTACCTACACCTGTCTGGGACTTATTAATGTCTCCAGATGGTGCCACTTCAAGGCAGCAGCTACCCACATCCGGTCCCCACCCACTAGGCAGCTGGCAATCTCTCCTAAGTCATCTCCTGTACCTCCTAAGGAAGCCAGCTCCACCGCTTGGATTGAATGTTCCTCTCTTCCCAGCTTACCCCCTCAGCCTAGCCTTCTGGGTGCCTACCCCCGTGAACACCCACAACTCTGTATCTCGGCCATCTCTACCTGTCCCTTGCCTGCCCTCATATCCCCAGGTCCTGGTCGTAGACAAAGGTTACCCATGGGTCTTATCCCATCTCTGGCCCCAGAGATTCTTAATGATAGAGCAGCCCAGGATGCCACAGGGCACCTCAGAATGTTCAAATCTGGCACCTATGGACTAGGCCTCATTTATCAGGTAAGGAAGCCAAGACACATAGTCCGGGCTCTGAGGCTCCTCAGAAAAGGAGCAGAGGGCTGGAGAGATGGCTCAGTGGCTGAGACCACTTGCTGCTCTTCCAGAGGACCCAGGTTCAATTCCCAGAACCCACCCAGCAGATCACGGCCGTCTGTAACTCTAGTTCTAGAGGATATGATCACCATAAGATCCCTCTTCTGGCCTCGAAGGGACAAGGCACACATGTGGTGCACACACGTACTTGGAAGGAAACAGCCGAGCACAAAATGTAAAAATAAATAAATCTAAATAACAAATCAAGGAAAAAACTCAGAAGGGGAAGAACAGGAACAGAGTAGGACAAGGGCCCTGAGGTATGGAGGCCTCACTCGCCTCGCTGCTGTGCCCTCCTCTGGCCTCCAGTCACGTACAGTCACACACCACACAGGCCGCTGTAAACACACGCCTGCACGTGACATACACATATGTACCTTAAGCACATATCACATGAGCTCACACACCAGGGAGACACAGGGTGTCCTGGAGCCCAGTCTTCCTTTGGGTCCCCTCTTATTTCCATAGGAATAACTGCTGAGTCAGAGCTGCTCACCCCAAGTGAGGGGCGGAGATGAAACGTGCCAGGGCCCCTCGGCAAGCAGGTGTCTGCAGGGTGTCCCCAGCGCATCATGTCTCTGTCTTACCCCAACCCCGAGCAAGCAACCCTGCCTGCCTCCAGCTCGGCAGCCACTTTTGGAAAACTAGAGGCAACAAGATGTCCTTGAGCAGGGAGAACCACGGACGGCCTAGCCAGAGGGCCATACCGACAGGCTCTCCCTGGTGGCGCTGCTGATTTATGAGAGTCTTCTGGGCACCGGGCCAAGTCTGTAAGTCACGGAAGATTAGGAGGCGCACTCAAGCCCTCAGCCCGGCTGCTGCAGCCCATGCGTGGCCTATAGGGCTCCCGATGTAGCCTTACTCTCCAAGCATCTCAGCTTGTAGGGGCCCTGGGCACAATCCTGAGCCCAGTTTGCAGATGAGAACACTGAGGACCATGGATACTAGTAACACAAGACAGTGACTGAAGACCTGGCAATGACACTTAGGGCTTTCCTCAGTCACTCCCCCTGTGGCCAGGAGGGGAAGACAGGAAGAGATGAGCCACCGTGCTCCCCAGTGGCCACTGGCACTTCAAAACTAGCAAGAAAGGACCAGACCTTAGATGTCAATGACTCTGAACCCTGCTGCTGTCAGCCCAGGGTCTCTGTGTCCCTGGAATTTGGGAATCATGGCATGTGGAGCCAAAGAGGGCTTCCAAGGTCATCCAGCCACTTAAGACTCTAGACAGAACTTCTCCTATCTCGCATGATGGGGAGACCCAAGAGCATGCAACCTGATACCCCCATCTGTAGAGTGCTTAGGAAAGCTCCATTAGGTGCTCCTAGGAGCTGAAGAGCCACACTGCCTGAGGGAACCTGCTGTATGGATGCAGGGTCCCCTCTTGGGGCAGCTGATCGTGGGCACGGCGGTTGTTGGTAAAGCTGAGTCAGAATTGTGAGTAGCAATTTCAAGTTCAATTAGCCATGAGTAGCACTGTAGACCCCAGGGTGCATCTGAACTCCAGGTACATGGTAGAGAATTAGACCACACACACACACACACACACACACACACACACACACACACACACGCACACGCACAGGCACATGCACACGCACATGCACACGCACACACGGAGAGAGAGAGAGGGGGTCAAGGACATGATATGGGACCCTCTGTCTCAGTGATAATGGAGGCGAAAGCACAGACTGAACAGGCCAAGTTCTAAGGGGGACATTCAGATGGAGGAGTCGGGCAGCCAGCTCTGAGAGACATCAAGCCGGCCCCTGACAAAGAAAAAATTCTTATTTATGTGCGAGGGTGGGTTAATGTGGACAAGGGGCAGATCCTGGGCATGGCATGAGGAAGGGCATCCAGCTTAACTGGGCAGCAGAAGCACTGGCTCCACAGTGAACACTTGGCATGTAATAAGAACGGGCTGCTGTGGCTGCTAAGGACAGTGTAGCGTGAACACCCTGTGCTCTCACTGGGTAGCCTTCCCTGAGTTAATGCCTCAGCCCTGCACTTGCCCTTGGTCCCTGTGCATTTCCCTGTCTCCAGCACACTTACAGAAGACACACTTAAATTCAAAATCAAACACTGTGCTTTGGAAGTTCAGCTTGAATCTAGTGTCCTCTTCCCGTCACCCCCCAGTCCTGTTTCTAAGTTCTCTGGAAATCCCAAGTTAAGACAAGAGGCAGAAGCAAAGAGGCTGGGAGCCCCAGATCTGGCTGGGGCTTCCCTGACAGAATATGGTTGGGAGGGTGGGTCCCTCCTCCCAATCTATCACATCCAAATCTGGGAAGATGAGTAGGCACAGACCCATGACAGCCATCCTGGGCCTGGGCATGACCACATTCATCTTAAGTGTCCAGCGCAAATGCACCTTGGCCTTGGTCCCACCGTCAATGCGCACACATACCCTCCTGGCACACCCCCTTGGGGCCCCACTCAGGGGGAGAGAGTGCCCTACCTTGGACAGCAAGGCAAACGGAGAGGGATAGTATAAACATTTACAGCAAGGTAGACACAACAGTCCATTGTGGCAGCAGCCTGGCTTCCCCCAGCAGGGGAGAGGCTGTTGGGGAGCAGGAGAGCGCCTGGGCAGCCGCCAGGACCTGCGCGCAGAGGTGTTTTTGTCTGAGGCGTCTGCATGCTGCCGCCTGCCTCTGTCAGTCTGCTACTGAAATTTCCTGTCTCTGTTATTCTCTTCTTCAGGAAGAGATCTGAAACCCAAAACTTTTATTGCTCCTTTAAAAGGGCTTTACAGCTCCCCACCCGCTTCCCAGACTTGTCCTGCTCGAAGAGCTGGGATTGTAGTTAGGGGCAGCATGCTGGGCACTGGGTCTCTGTGGGCAGGCCAACCACAGGGTCTTGGCTGCGGAGGACCAGAAGGAAAGGGGGGGGAGGGCGGGCTGGGGAACTAGAGTGGCTCAGGATAACTGGACCGGGTTAACTGCTCCTCCATGTGTATATCCTGCTGGCTGGTGAGCTGGTCAGGCTCAAGCATGGAGACCCAGGACCACATACCCTAACACCTTAGCTGACCTCAGCCCCCTTGGCTACCTCTGCAAACCGTTTGTCTACCTATAAAAACAGGATCAGCAGCCTCGGCCTGCCGTCCCTTGGAGAGAGTTAAGTGAGAAACAAGCCCACTTGGAAAAGTGTTAGGAAATTAAAAAGAATCAGAGCGGAGAGGGCTAGGCAGATGGGCATAGGATGTGGACTGATCCAGGCAGGTCAGGCTCCAGCCCTCTCTCTACAACCTCAGGCAAACTTCATAGGTCCTCTTAGCCTCAGTTTCCCCATTTTAACAGAACCTGACACCTTCAAATCTTCTCAAGATCTCAAGGCTGGGAAATAGTTCAGTGGGCTCAGGTGCAGTATTTTTTTCCATTTTTTAGATTTTTTTTAAATTTTGTGTGTGTGTGTGTGTGTGTGTGTGTGTGAGAGAGAGAGAGAGAGAGAGAGAGAGAGAGAGAGAGAGAGAGAGAGAGAGA